CTTACAGCGGTGGATTTTATCTCCTTATAGCTAACAAGCACAGGTTCTCTGACACTTTGGGGTTCCTCAGCAAGGCCCTTAAAGCGCAACTTTTGACCCTTTCTGAGAAAAGAAAAACCGAGGGATGGTTTGCTTGACGACCAACACCAATCACAAAAGCTGGAGCAATCTTCAGTGTTACACATATTGTACCCTGGATTTAACACAAATATTAAAATATGTATTGTGAAAATGCCATATTCCCATTTTAAAATGTAAAAATTATTTCAATGAAATGCAGTTAAATTTGTAAATTTAGGAAAAGTACTGTAGACTGGGATAATGACGCTACTGGGATGCACGCACACTGACCTCAAGCAAGTTACTATAAGTGTGCTCAACATGGATGTGCTGTCATGTTTACTGAAATCTAACAAAAAAATAATTGAGAATATAGCATAATGCCAAGCTTTACATGATCAGGCAGTACAATGCATTTATTTGCTAAGTATTTATAAGTATCATATATTTACATTTGTCTTGTATTCGTTATTTACAAATTTAAAAAATCTGTATAGGAATGTCAATGCATGAAGCTTTCTTGGAAAAGAAACATTGTAACCCCCTCAGATGATTTGAAGTTGAAATAATACTACATTTTCAAGAATGAAAAAATTTTTTGGTACGTGGTTCAATGAACCACTTGCATATCACAATGTATCAGTTTTACCTCCCTACCGCTTTTACCTTAAGTCATGCCTTCGGTCTTTTATTCTATGAATGGATCCCCATTTTTCTATACTACCTTGAATTCTATTTGCAACATCAGAGCTGTTGAAGCTGTCATAGTAGCTCATCAAACTATATGAGGAGAGTTTTTTCATTCTTCAAGATGTAGTAAGCAGTCTATGTATTACTCTCATGAATATCCTCAGAAATTCTACCACCAATGTGCAATCCTTAATAGTAGTAGTAATCACTCATTCATCTTTAATAATCTCTGTGTTAAGTTACCTTACTGTTGTGTGTGCTGGTGTTACACACATACTATCTCAGTGGCTGAGACATTTGCATCATGTTGGGTGAAAGCTGTACTTAGTATTAGTTACATATCTTCAATAATGGTTTCCCCAAAGCAGGTTTGCTGTCAATGCCAAGGAGCCAAACAACCCACTGGTGTTGTAAGTATGAACTTTAATTACTGGGTATGAACCTTAATTACTCTATGTATATTGTAAAGATGAATTTCCTTATTCAATATAACAGTAGCATAGGCAGTGATACCAGGGAAAGAGTTATGAATAGTCCCATCTGTTAAGAGTTCTTTGGTCATTATTTGGATAGTGAAATACAGTCCTTCAAAGTCCTGAGTATATGAGGCCCAGTTGAATGCTTAATTACTATCTTTATATTGTCCTTGAGGAGGAAACTAAATTTAGGCCTAGAATTTTCTGCTTGGAACTTTTTTGTTCTCTGTAATGCATGTAGTTTACTTACTCTTATACCAGAAGCTATGGATGAGCAGAAACACCATCTTTTATGTAGTGGGTTGTTGGGAAAATGGTAGAGTGAAGTTAATGTTGATGCCTGAGCCATGCATATGAACCTTGGCATCTATGGAAAACTGTTTAAATGCATAAGGTTAATTCACTAAGGCTCAAGGCTCAATGAAGGAGCTAACTTTCCTATGGCTTGACATTGTTTGTGACAGGGAAAGGCCTTTAAATGTATGAAGCTTCCTTTGGTGACCCACCATCAATCACTGCAGCAATGCAAATACAGGTATACTCTTCTTGACCTCAAGTTCATATACTGCATTCCTCACTAAGACCACATCACTCATGGTTTTCTCTTACTACAAGGCCTATATACTAAGAATATTTTATGTTCATTACCTTCCTATACCCATGAGGAACAATGAGTGTAATAGAGACTATTGCCTACTGCTAAATGACTGTACAGTTGCATTTACTTTTAGTGTTTAATTCATACTGAACAACAGGTAACAAAATTTCAGAATTTGGTAATGTCAAGCCAGTCCAGTGATGGTAGAGAAAATGGGAATCCATTTAGAGAATGGAAGGTTGGAGGAGGAATGATGTGGTGGAAAGCAGAGGAGACATCTGAAAATTGTGGTTTTGGAGGTAAAACTGGTAGGTTTGCACAAGTGGATGAAATTCTTGAGCATGTGTGAAATAAATTTGGATATATTAGTTTAGTTATATCTTTGAATTTCCATTACTATTGACCTAAATAAAGTTTTTTCTCCCTCAGACAAGTATGTAAGCTTCACCTCATGCTGTGTCACCATTATTATTATGGTTGTATCCATAACTATACTTCGAAGCCCAAGAGAACTGCATCACACCAATGCAGCAGAAACACACTTCAAGCAAAGAAACTTTAATTTACACAAACTTTCATCCATTAGGGTTTTTATTAAGCAAAACATTCTTTAAATAAAATAGTCTTTGATACAAGTGTCTTTCTACTACTGTATGCTGGCTGACAGCCATTACTGCACATGCATCACACTGTAAGCATCTCTTTAGAAGAAGTGTTCCATTACACCACATCATAATTCTCTCTGCACAAAAAAAAAAAAAAAATTGAATCACACCATAACTATCTCTACAAAAAAAAAAATCAAAGCATAACTATACTGCTAGAGAGAGTTGCATCACATGATAATTTTGCCTCTGAATAGAGAGGGAGAGTTGCATCACATTATAACTTTGCCTCTGGATAGAGAGAGTTGCATCACACCTTAACTACACCATTGACCCAAAAAAAAAAAAAAAATGTATTACACCATAACTGCACCTTAAGTGAATATACTTCTAGAGAGAGTGTTGCATCACCCCTGAATTATTCTGGAGTCTCGGTTGTTGGTGGTTGTAAACACAACAAGCACAGTTCCCAAAGCAGTTTTTAGTGATTACATTCTGCCTGTAGTGTTTAATAACTATGGCTCAATTCTTCAAGATTAACTCTGTAGTCATGCATTTGCTGTCAAGTCTTTCAACTGTTTTTTGAAAAAAAAAAAAAAAAAAAATCTTTAGTTAAACTGAAATGAATTTCAATAACTTTATTACTGGTGAATTCTATTTAAGCTATTCATGTTTAAACACTTATCTCTTAATGGTATGTACATGTATTTGCTCAGACTAGGTCAAAATGAACCTCCAAATCTTGCAAAAAAATTATGAATAAACCCTAAACCTGTAGTAGTCATACAGAACCTGAGAATAGGAGGGTATATATAATACTTTGGATCAAGAGCCCTTCACTAACATCAAAGTACACCATTTGAAGGGAAATACTGATAAGGATATCAAAGTTTCATTAGTATCCTACCCTTTTTCAGGGAGGAATGACCAGCTGTCATATCTGTGCACCTCTGGCAAGACAGTGATAGTGTGAATGATGGTGAAAGTGTTTCTTTTTCAAGTCACCCTGCCTCAGTGGGTGATGGCCAGCATATTAGAAAAAAAGTAATCTGATTTAATCATTAAACTCAAAAGGGTCAACCAGTTCACAAGTCGGATCGAAACGTTGTCGTAAGTTTCTCTCTCCTATGTGCAGGATATCTGTGTATTTGTCTATGTAATTTTTTGGTGCAGGTTACTGCTACACATTCAAGTTTTAGTCTAACATATGAAAGGGTTTTTTAATATTTAACCCTTAAACTGTCCAAACGTAGATCTACGTTTTTTTAACATTTGAAAGTAGTACGTAAAAAAATGTAGATCGTCTCTTTTTTTTTTTTTTTTTTACATTTGAAAACGTGTAAAAAAAACTTTTATCTACATTTTTTTTTGTTATATTTGAAAATATGTAAAAAAAAAACGTAGATCTACTTTTGGAGCACTACAGATTTCAACGTCGATCTGTTTGGACAGTTTAAGGGTTAACAGTCCTCTATATATCGAGGGCCTACTTAAGTTATCCGGTGAAGAACAGTCATCCCTACAAAATTGCAGATTTCTATATTCATGGATTTTGATTATTTAGTTTATTTTACTGAAAAGCAACCAGTAAACAGATTAAATTTTCTAAAACTTTTCTGGCTCAATAACTTTCTCACACCCAAATCTCTCTATACTGGTTGTTATTCCTAATGAATGTCAATATTAACTAGACAAGAAGGATTCTGTATATCAAAGAGAGATGATCTCTGACACACAAAATCATTCACAGAAAGATTATAATAATCACAACTAAGCACTAAACCTGGAAGGGTCATTCACAGAAAGAGCCTTTGTTATGTATAGTAGCTCCTGGATTGTTCAATAGGCTGTCAGTGTTTGTTAAGGGTCAGGAATCTATTCATGCTTTAAAGCTTCAGCTGGAAGCACACTTCTTTCCTAGAGCCAATGATCCTGATGATCATACTGTCACTCTTTAATATAAGCCTTAGTATTTCATCTTCATTGTTGTTGTGGCATTTATGTCTTTGTGTGTGAGCTCTTGTGAACTTCTCAAAAGAACGAAATCCCAAATTGTAGTTATTAATGAAATTTGGTAAGAGTTAACAAGCACAAGGCAAGTTAATTTTGACTACTTTTAATTAGTGTCTTTAAAAGTCAATAAATAAAAGTATTATGCAAGCAGTTTGGATGGTTAAATCAATTTAAACAACCAGAATTGTCTTCTGCATTGGTCAGGTCTACAAGAAAGAACAATCAGCTGTGTGCACTTACAGCACAGTCAGAGGAAGCAAGAATGCAAGTACTGTACCAACTTACAGTTACATGGTGTGTGACCCAGAATGGACTTATCTCAAGTAACCAGGCAAAGCCTGTTTTAAAATTAAGAAAAGCAAGGAGCTGGGAAAATCCTCCCCCCCCCCCCCCCCAAAAAAAAAAAAAAAAAAAAAAAACTGGACTGCAGATGAACTTTTGTATCATATTCTCAGATAAATTTCCTTTAGTGCATTTCAGCAACCAGAGACAGCTGCACCTGCAGAAGGAAAGGACAGCATTTCAACCTGGAGTGCATTCTTCTTATGAAGAAACATTCTAAGGAAAGAAATATATATGGGTGCTTCTCCTGCAGATTCTTCATGTTTTTGACTAAAGGTAGAGATGAAATAGGAATGGTATGCTGTACATGCAGATTGT